CAACTACAATTGCTTGTCCAATACGTAGTAGATCATCTGGGTTGTCTCATTGAGTCTCCCAAAGACTCTTAGTATTTCCCACCATTTGGCAGATGAGAGCATCGAGTACCACTGATGTCCTTAGTTGTGACCCAGGTGGCTCTGACTCATGGCCACCTTATGCAAACCAGAAGGACATGCGGTCTGGTCCTGTATCTTCTTCACTGGTCAATTTATTCACCTCCCCTAAGAAGCAAAGCAGCGATATTGCTCTATGAACTCCAGTTGACTGCATCCCAGGCACTGGTGACATGGACGCCGCGGGGGCACAGTGGTCAATGAGACTGGCGTGTCGGTGCCTGCCACTTTCGGTGCTGACCCCATGAAGGGTTGAGTCTTGAGCTCTCCCCAGGTGGGCTCCATGGAAACAGGGGATGCAAAAACTAAAGCCTCCCCCGGAAATGGCTCTGCCTGACCAAGAGCTCCTTCCCAGGGCCAGGCCAGGGCTTAGAAGGTGAAGGAGCTCCAGAAGGCCACCAAGGGGAAGGTGGCGTGGTTGCTATAGGATTACAGGGCATCAGTTACAGGAAGGGGAAGGTAGAGGGCAGCAGGCTCAGAGAAGGGGGTTTGCGTGTATCATGCTGCACCGATTCACTCCAAGACCACACAAAGCACGGTATCCCCTTTCAAAGGGCCAGAGACTTCTTACTGATAACGTGTTGCTTGCTGATAAGTGCTGGGAATGTGCACGGTGTGTGAGAAAATGTGTGCATGAGCAGGAGGCAAGTGATGTGACAAGGGCATCCCCCCCACACCCCATCCCATCGAGCCAGGGGCAGATGAAGAAACTCAGACTCCCTTCTCTGGGAAGCATGACGTGGCTGTGATAAAGTCGTACAGGGCAGATGGTTCCGGTACAGGCAGGGTGGGGAGGTACAGCCCAGCAGGACCTGCTGTTCACTCCACTGTGACAGCAGAGATGTGGACAGCGCCAGCACGCTGCCAAGGCTGTTTAGAGGCCTCACACACAGCAGCAAGAGTTATCCCACCACTGAAGGCCCAATAAATCAGGCTCATTTCATGTTTTTTCTTCTTCTAAAAATCTGTTTGTGTTTAATGCTCCAAATATCCTCAAATTAAAAAGAGTACAGTATGGTATAGTATTTCCTGGGGGAAATGAGCAAAGACTTGGAAGTTCGGCAGTTCTGGGGTAGAATCATCATTCTACTTGTTCCTCAGCCCTGGGACTCAGCTTCCTTCTAAGCAAAATGGGGAGATCATGTTTTATTCTTTGATTAAATGAAATCCAGAACACAGCACAGAGCACGCTCTATACTGAGAAGATCCATCAACAGCTTGCTTTTCACTACATACTCACGTCTACACACACACACACACACACACACACACACACACACACAGCTGACACACAGACAGTAGGTGGGCAGAGACTTCCTCTCAAGAAAGCAGTTTCAGTGAGCAAGTGGCTTACCTTATAGCCACTATTATATCAAAGGGCAAGACATCTTGATGTATTCACAGGTGATGC